GCTGAGTTGAAGTATTTTTCCACTCTTCTGATGATCGTGCATTTAATCTCACCCGTTTCCATGGCAACTTTAGTTATCTCCTGCCGTTGGTAACATTTATTAAGTTTGTGTCTTTTGCAATAAATCTCAATAATTTTGTGGTGAAAAGTTAATTAATAATATAAATTAATAACATAATTAATATAAAATGAACAAATTAAATGTTTGGCTATGGAAATATTTCTGTTTTGTTGCTGAGTTGAAGTATTTTTCCACTCTTCTGATGATCGTGCATTTAATCTCATCCGTTTCCATGGCAACTTTAGTTATCTTCTGCCATTGGTAACATTTATTAAGTTTGCGTCGTTTGCAATAAATCTCAATAATTTTGTGGTGAAAAATTAATTTTTCTTTCATTCTTTCAGGTGTTTTCATCGGCTGAGGTATGGTTCAGTTTAGACGGAGTCCGTTTTCAGCCGACGCCTGTGAAGGGCGGCGCTCCGAGGATGGACAGAGGTGAATCGGCGCTGAATGTGACCCTGCAGTTGAAGGGTCGTTCCGCGCGGTTCATCAAACTGAGGCTCTTCTTCGCCGACAAGTGGATACTCCTCAGCGAAGTCGCCTTCGAATCCGGTAAGTGATTCGCCAACTATATGAACTGCACTCACTATACATCCAACCACCCACAACTACTATGCAGCGAAATTGCAGGCATTCTCCCAAAAGTCCGAACCGTTAGATCGGATCTGTTCTGCTGCTGCTGCTGCTTTTCAGTCAACAAAACGACAAGCAAACTTTCTTCCGCCGTTTACTTCAATTGCAAACGCAATAATACTTAGACTTTCCACCGAAACACACTAAAATAAAGTCTAATCTGTATATACTAATTTAAACTTTAACTTAAAAAGTGTATATTTATACTAAATTAATATATAAATTATCAATGATTATTCTTCAGTTTCAAGAGAATAAAAAAATGTGCGATGTTCATTACGATTAAGTTAATTGCATTCGGATTTGCAAGCGCAGTCGCACGCAAATTGGCCCTTTGATCAACTGCATATTATATAAATTTAACGTGCCGGAAGATTAAGTTCAAAATTAGCAATTAACATCTTCAGGTTTTTTTTTTTGCAGCAGCAGTTGCCCTCATTTCTTCCGGCAGTTAATTACAATCAAAAGAACCGCACATTGCAGCAAACGGAATTCACATTATATTTCGTTTAATCGAAACAATGTACAGATAGATAATACATTGATTATTTAAGTTTGTATCTGGAAATTTCAATTATCTCTCTTACAGTTTTGTACAGTTAATTCTTCAAAATGCAGGAGTTTTCAAGTATCAAACTTATATAATGTCCTGACAGTTCATTGACATTTCTTTACCATTTATTCATTTTGGCATTAAATTGAAACTTTTTTACATGAGTTTTGCAGTATTACATAACTTAAGGCAGCGTTTTCCAAACTGTGAGGCGCGCCTTCCTGGGGAGGCATGGACTAGTCTAAGGAGAGGCGCGAATATTAGTAGCAATCATTGATTTACTCGAAAACTATAATAGATAGAATGGGAATCCAANCTGTGGAGGCATGGACTAGTCTAAGGGGAGGCGCGAATATTAGTAGCAGTGAGCAATTTTCCAAATATCTGCTAAAGTTTATGTCTTTTATGAAAGC